AGAAGCCTCGTCAGCGGTGGGGGCTAGATGTCAGTGGGGGGAGAGGGCTGAAAGTGGAGGGGTATAATAGGAAAGTCAACCCAATTTTCATTCCACATAAATTTGCGCACCAAGTCAAACTGGGAAGTTTAATTTTGGACGGTGGGAGTATAAGCTTAGAGAGAATGGGAATATGAAATTGAAACCATAGGAAACATTGCCTTTTTTACTGATTATTTTGTGCATTACTTTTACTCAGCATTTTTAATGGCTTTTCAGGCAAGAGCTGGGATAGATTATGAGTCATCTTATGGGAAAGTCCGTCCAAATGATACTATTTTGAAGCTTCAAAGAACGACCCCATACTACAAGAGAAATCGAGCACATGTTTGCAGCTTTTATGTTCGGGGTCAATGCACAAGAGGTTCGGAGTGCCCTTACAGGCACGAGATGCCTGAAACAGGAGAACTGTCACAGCAGAATATTAAAGACCGTTACTATGGGTATACATCATTGCTTCTTAATTATAAAACTCAAAATATGATAATCGACGCAAACACAAGAATGCACACTTGGTGCATGAAGTTTTTGAAGCTATACATCTACCTTTCGTCCTCTTGTATTCTGTTCATTGTGCCCTTTCATTCTGCCTTTTTCTTTTCTAGGAATATTGATGTATTGCTATATGGGTAGGCTTGATTTTTGTCTTTTTTTTACCAAGTACTACTCCACCGTCCCTAAATAAACTTTACATTTTGCTATTTAATGGGTAAAACCATATCATCTTCTTTACTTTAATGAATTGTAACAATAAAATAGTCTGTCACCACTTGATTTTTAGAACTTTGGATGCGGGCACGAATGGCTTGTTGATATAGAGCTTTTTTAGGAATTCACATTTGTGCTCAATAGATAGTTTTGATGACACACTGAATTCTAAATTTGATATTCTTTTTTTTGGAATGCCTTGCAGAGTGAATGATCCTGTTGCACTGAAACTGCTAGGCAAGGCAGGTGAAATGCCATCATTGGAGCCCCCAGACGACGAGAGTATTAGGACACTGTATGTGGGTGGGGTTGATGCAAGAATTACAGAGCAGGACCTCCGGGATCAGTTTTACGCGCATGGTGAGATTGAGTCTGTAAAAATGGTGTTGCAGCGCGGATGTGCTTTCATAACATATACTGCAAGAGAAGGTGCAGAGAGGGCAGCTGAGGAACTTGCAAACAAGCTGGTCGTGAAGGGATTGAGGCTAAAGCTTCTCTGGGGAAGACCACAGGCACCAAAACCCCTTGAATCTGAGCTGTCTGCTGATGTGGCAAGACAACAAGCCGCCACTGTGGCTCATAGCGGTTTGTTGCCAAGGGCTCTCATTTCACAGCAGCAGCAGGTGGGCGGGCAGGTGGACCCACCTCCGCCTGTTCCTTACTTCAATATTCCGCCGATGCCACCTCAGCCAGACAGGGCAGCGGCACTGTATCCATCTATGGACCCTCAAAGAATGGGAGCCCGTGTTTCCTCATCGCATGATGGGTCCGCTTCAGGGTCAGGCGAAAATAAACAACCACAAGGTGGACACCCTTTTGCTTATCCTCCTCCTCCCCCGGGGCCACCACCGCACGGTCAATTTTACCCTCCTTATTATCCACCACAACAATATGGAGGGTATGTAATGCCTCCCCCTCCTCCACAGTCTTATCAGCAGTACCCTCATCCTCCTCCACCTTATCAGGCTACAATGCAACCACATCCACCTCACAGTGGAAGCCAAGCACCACAGCAGCCACCTGGCCAGCATAGACCGCCAGTTCCGCAAGGTCAGGGACCTCCACCTCACAGTGGAAGCCAGGCCCCACATCAGCAGCAGTCACAGCCGCCGCCAGGACCAGGCCAGCAGAGACCGCCAGTTCCGCAGGGACAGGGACCGCCAACTCACAGTGGAAGCCAAGCGCCACATCAGCAGCAGTCACAGCCGCCACCAGGACCAGGCCAGCAAGGACAGGGACACCCAGAGTCTGGGCAACAATCTTAATCTTGTCACCCTTGTTATGTTTGTGTGAAGAATTGTGTAACAAGAAGTTATATCACTACTATTGTCACAAGTTTATCACCATTTTCGTCCAAACCATTTTAACTCCAACAATTGTATTTCCTCTATTTTTTTCCCCATTAACTTCAGATTACTCTGTACTTGAGAAACCCGAGTGAGAAATGAAGTTACCAAAATCTCCTCGTGTGAAATTGGCACAAAACTAAAGAGTGAAAGTGAAGTTTTATAAATGATCTTACCTACGAGTGTTTTCCTTTGGTAAATGTAGTGTAAAAGATAGTAAATGTGTTGATTGTGGAGGGTAATTGTTTATATATAAAAAAAGAAGTAAAAGGTGTATGCCACAACAAGAAATGAAAAATCCATTTTATGAAATTTTAGGACGAGGAATTATACCCTGCTGATTGCAATAAGCAATTTTGTTCTAATTTCTACCGAGTAAATGATTAGACTGCATGATGTGTTAAAAACAATCATTTTTATAGAGTTCCAAGATTAAGTCTATAAAAGTGTGTACAATAGTCATTAAACACACTTAGATATAGAGGGTGTTTGGCAGTGCGCTGCTTTTAGTAATTTAGCTTCTGCTTTGAGTGGAAGTGATTTTATTCTGTTTGGCATGTCAGCTTCTGCTTTTCACCACTACTATTTTATACACAGAACACCGTTTTGGAGAAGCAGGTATGAGGTGCTTTTGCTTTCAGCTTTTGTGGAAATCACTTTATGCAGAAGTTAATCACTCTCAAACAAGCTCATAGAGAACAAATTAAGTTTGGAAGATATGACATTGAATTGGAAAAATAATTTTTATTTAATAAATTTTACAACTGGTCCTTTGAAATGGGAAATTTTCCATATCTAATTTTCTATTATGGCCTTGTTTGGGAACGTCGTCTTCAATTAATGTTAGTATTTCTGAAAATGTTGACGCTAAAGGCTTCCGTCAGATAACTATTTCTAAAATGCTAATGCTAACCTCTTACGCTTATGCCAAATGAAACCTATAGCTAAATTGAACACCTTAAATTTTAAATAACTTTATAAAATCTCAATTAGATAACCACTAATTTTTACTCCGTAAAAGCTACCGAGTAAAAAAAATCTACAAACTATGGATTACACAAAAAAAACCGAACCCAAGCCCAATAAGCAATAGGTTTGCTAAGACCTTATGTATAAAACCGAACGGAGCCCATAGATTTTTGGATAGAAACGGAGCCCAGCTTATTCTGCCCATCATCATATTACTCCTTCAAGAGTCGAAGACGTGAAGAGAGACAACATAAATAAAATTAAAAGACAAAAATTGGGAATCGATCTTCCCTCTGAATCAAAAAACCAGAAATTTCATAGGCAACGATATAAAAGATCAACGAGATTCTACCGAACTTAACAGTCACTTTGAAGCCCGGAGAGCGACGAAGCAGGTATTTATAGTACTCGTGTCTACGGCGTGCTCCGATTCTTCAGCATTTAATCTCAGTTTTCCAAGAATTTCTGAAAAAAATGTGTACATTAATCTTTATTGATGTTTATATTTTCCTCTTTTTAATCTTTCGGGTATCGGGATTGGACGTTATTTGATTTCTAGGGTTTATGTTTTACGAATCTTTTGTGTCTTTCATTGATTTGTTGTTGGAGGTTTACTGCCCAGATGTTGATTTTCACGCGTATTAGCTTTCTGGGTCTGGAAGTTTCGACCTAAAAATGGTGTCTTTGATGGATTTAGTTTTAGTGAGAGAAAAATGAAGCGCAAGCGGGGAAGTAAGAAAGGCAAAGCTAAGAAGAAGCCCAAAGTGACGACAACGGATGTGGATGTGAATGCTCAAAATGATGATTTGGTTGTGGAAGAGGGGGTGGAGGAGGTGGCAGATGCGGTGGCAGAGAGCAGTGGTGGTTCTGGCTCAGATTCTGGTGGAGACGGAGATGGAGACCGAGACAGAGGAGGAGGAGGAGGAGAGGAGGAGGAGAAAGAAGCAGCACCAACATCTACTGCGGCGGTGGCGGTGGTTGATCAAGCCACACCAAAACCTACTACAACAAGTGCTGTTGGATTCGGTGATAGCACCACAGTGAAAGCAGTTTACAGGCGTGTCAAGGTCAAGATCAAGACTTCTAAAACTTTATTACTTGATGGTTCTCCAGAAACTCACCCCCCTGCTGAGAAAAGCAGCCAGCAGCCAGAGGAACAAGAAGGTGTTTCTAGTGAAAAAATGGAAGCAGATAGTGCCAACAACTCATTGTCCGAGGCGAATAATAATAATAATAGTAATGTGAGTCCATCTGAAGGAGGAGACTTACTTAGAAAGTCTGCGGGCATCAAAATTAAGTCAAAGAGCTTCAGCTCAAACTTTAGCCCGTGTATTAACACTGAAACACTGAAAGGGGAGAAGACACCTAAAAAAGAGTCTCTTTCAGTTTCCAAGGATTCTTCTAGATATAACAAGAAGGAACTAGATGCTGCACTGGAGGTATGCCTGATCTAGGTTGTCTTCTAATCATCTCCTGACATGTTATCCATGGTCAAGATTGTCTTTTACGTGTTTAGGTTATAAAGAAAGTGATGAAAATGGATGCAGCAGAGCCTTTTAATACTCCAGTTGATCCTATTGCTCTTGGAATTCCTGTAAGAATAACATTTTTACTGCAACACGTATTATAATGTGGAGTAATAATATATAGTTTTACTAATAAAATCATAATACTCTTTAGACCTTTAGAGAAAATATCGTTTTACCATAGAATTTGACTTAATTGGCACAATAACCCTTTCTTATGTGATACAGAGTATTAGTAATCCTAAGCCTGTTGAGATTAGTGTTTTTTTTGTTATGTGAGCCTTTACGCATCCTTGCAAATATCAAGATGCTTAAGGGCTTTTGTTGCTTGTAATGCTGAAATAATATCAACATATTGGGCTATTTGTTTCTTTTTTCCTTTCCCCCTTGCCAATTATTTGCTAGTGTTTGGTGTCATACATTGCTCACAATATTTCCTTAAATTAAGAGTTCTTGTGTTCTTTTCACTTCATATTTCTTAACAGTGTATAGTATATACACATCTATATCTGTGTAGAGAGATGCCTTTATTATGTGACCCACACACACACACACACACAAACACACACAATGTGTGGTGACCAATAGTTTTTGTGCTGTGGTGGAACCAGGACTATTTTGAGGTTATAGATACACCGATGGATTTTGGGACAATACGTGGCAATCTTGAAAGTGGGGTTAAATACTTGAACTCGGAAGATGTCTATAAGGATGTGCAGTGTATATGGGATAACTGCTACAAGTACAACAATAAAGGCGATTTGGTCTTGGATCTCATGAAACGCGTGAAAAAGAACTTTTCAAAGTATTGGATTGCATCTGGATTATACAGCGACTACACACACGGTAGCTATAGCACCATATTAAAGCTTTTTATATATGTATTTTTTTTAAATATGTAATTATATTTGGGTTCTAAATAACTTGTAACACGAGTTATTCTTGCGCTGCTCTGCAGGTGTTGAAAGCAGTCAAACAAAGGATGTGACACCACCTGACAACAATGGGACAGAACAATTGAAAGGTGGATCCTCCTCGAGTAACATTAAGACAAGAAAGCTTCAGGGGTGTGTGCTGATTATGCTATCTTCTACTGCTGCTGCTACTGTTGCTCTTGTATCTAAAATATAGTAACAGTTTTCGACTGATTTTTATCATGGGTGGCTTTTCAGACTCAAGAAGCATAAGACTGGGTGCCTATGTGCCATATGTGTGATGATACGCCGGAGGCAAGAACGCGAGGAGAGCTCTGCTAAAATATTGGAAGAGCAGCAGGCCGAAGCTGCAAGTAGTGACTATGAGATGGTCAGGCCCGAGGTAGATATGTTTCCTAATTTTTTCCAATATCAGATATCCGAGATATGCTATTATACAGGAAAATTGGAAGGAAGTAAAAAAGTGTGAAGGAAAATAAAAGATGTGCTAAAATTCAATACCTTTAATTAAGATATGTTGAAACTCATTGAAGACTCGATATATATATATATCAATATATAAAAGAAATCTTACTCCGTATAATATTTCATTCTTCTTTGCATTTTCCTAGGTAAAACCAAACATACCCTTAAAATTTCAGGCAATCGCTTATTGAAGTGACTAGTCACTAGTGTATAACAATAAGCAAACCCAATAAATTACCACGGAGAGTAGGCTAGGGTCTAGGAGGGTGTTTGTATGCAGCCCTTATCTTTACTTAGAAGTGATATGATGTTTCCAAAAAAAAATCTTTAGCTGCCTACTGGCCCCTCCTGATTTATTCTCTTCTGTTGTTATGACTATTCTCCCCATTTCTAATTGCATACAATATTTTATGTCTAACTGTCTGTCGATCCACTTGTCTTATTCTAAATTTGACATTGGAATATTTTTTTCTCCTATAAAGGAACTTACAGCTGCAGCAGAAAGCGCAGGTGGCTGTGAGTACGCATCCCCAAACATAGAGAATTCTCCTCCAGAACTGGACATAGATTCCAACGCGAATGTAGAAGAGGAGGCAAAGTTAACAGCTAATACAAGTGAAAATGATGAAGACAACCGAGAGGAAGATGTCAAGCAGTTGGGTGTTTCGTCTAGAATATCTATAGAAGACGATCGTACAAAACATCAAAAGCAAACTGTGGAGTGTGGCAATGATGTGCCGAGTCGCAATGATAAAGAAGCGTTGCTGACAGGTGGCGAAACTGCCGCTAGTGAACAACCGAAGCCCAAGGTATTTCAAAGTGCCGACATTTTATATTGGAAATATTAAGCATCACTAATAATATGATAGAATGTTGGAAGAGTTATTTCACACATGGTAAACATGAGAGTCCAAGTAGGGGTGATTTAGACTCTTGATGCATCGCTGCATTTACTACCCAAAACTTCATTGAAACTTAAAGTTTAAGCTGTCATTCTGATTTAGTCAATTGTTCACCTTGAAGCTAAAAAGAAATGTAAAAACGACTTATTTCATTCTATTGGCAATGGACATAATAGTCGACTATATCAAAATGAGAAAATTTACTTCTCTTGCTTCTTAGGGGCTGTTTGGCAACTTCTGAATATGTAAGTGCTGAACCAGTAAGAGGTCTGAACCATTAAGAGCTAGTATATTGCTTAACTATTCAGAGGCAAATGTCTGATCAATTCAGATAAGAGGTCTTAACCATTCAGACTCTGTATAATACTTAACCATTCAGAGGCAAATCTCTTAACCATTCAGACATCTGAACCATTAAGAGGATGAAACAAACAGTCTGAACCATTAAGTGCTGAACCATTCAGACATCTGAACCATTAAGAGGCCGAAACAAACAGCCCCTTAGTATTTAAGACTCCCGCTGTCAATAAAAATCTTCTACTTGGTTTTCACAGAGTCAAACCCATATATTCTTTTCTTAGTGTTTGTCCTCAATTCTGTCAAGTGTATGCCATTGATGGTGGATGATGAATGATGATGATGATGATGCAGGAGGAAAAGCTAGACAAGCTTCAGAAAGCCAAGATGCTGGAGAAGCTGCGGCACTTGGAAAACCCCAGGATTCTTGGTCTGTGCAGAACCCTGTTTGCCAATGACCATAACACCATGTCGGTGTGGAACGGGCCCCACTCTCTGGCTGTTCGACGACAAAAGGATCCGCTGGCCTCTTCGACTCGCCTCAAGAAGAGGAGTGCCTTTCGCGATGCGGTTTCACAGCTGATACGGCTGCAGCAGGGAAAGTAAGTGATTATAGTGAGTGCTTAACTGCTGCTATCATATTGTGTTTTGTCTTTGTCTTGGTACATCTTTCCTGAGATTGCATGCAAATTACCTTAACAAACAAACAAACATCTTTGGTTAACATCTTTCCTAAGTAATTACATATAGTAATTACATGTAATTACTATATTCTTTCATCCTGTTTGGTTAGCCGTGTAATTTACCAAATTCACGTATAATTGGTGTAACTGAAGGGTCACAATTACATTTTCCAATATATAATTACACGGCAATTGTAAAATTAAAGTTTGTGCCTTGCATTTTTAAGTTTTTCAGAGTTCAAACTATAGCTCCTTGCTCCAAGTTATAACTTCACACTTCATACCAAATGTAGTTGACAATTTTCTTTAAATACTTCAGTATAAAAGCCTAGGGTTGTTACCTTCAGGGTTGGTCTAACTAACTCTGCGTAACCTTAAAATCATCTATTTAATTTATACAATCTTTGAATTTTAAACAGTCTATAGAAATCTTTTAAAATCTAGATTTAAAACACCCTCCTTAGTCTCAAAATAGTCCATGTCATATTCTAGAATATTCCATGCCATATGCCCAGATGCCAACCAAACTGGATCAAAATCATAAAAATCGGAAAATCAGAATCGAGTAAATGGTAAATTCGGATTTGAAAAATTCCAATCTGGACTGGTTTTTTCCGTCCAGGTTCGGTTTTAGATATAAAAAAATGGTATTTTTCTACCGTATGATTTCAAATGGTTTTTTGACGACCTAACTTGACTCAACCTTATTCCTATTTTTTTGTTTGTTGGTTGTGTTTCAAGAAATAATGTCAAAATCAAATGAGTACTAAAAATGGGTAATGAGAGTGGAGTTTAACCTTTTGAAGTTCAATTCGTTGCACAAAAAATTTCATTCTTTCTTTCCTTTGTCAATCCCCAAAAAAACCTCTGTTTTTCTTGTAAGAAAAAGAATATACAGTTAAAAATCTCTCTTTTCAATAAATTTCTACCAATTTTGTTTAACATTTTTCTTAAATTTGAAAAAATCGCACTCGTAATGTTTTTATAATATAAAAAACCAACTTCAATAGTAAATAGTTAAATACAATGATTTTGGGTTTGAATGAGAAAAAAGAGTAGTCCGTGTAATGGGAAAACCCCATCATTACCACAGCTTCAAAGTTTGAAGATGAAGACAAGAAAACAATGAGCAAAATAAATAAAAGAGACAGTGGATTTTATATTTTCCCTAAGATCTCTCCCTCCTTTTTCTATTATTTAAATTTAAAAAAAATAAGACTCGTTTAATTTCAGGAACCAATCAATCCACAGTTTTCTTCCAGACTGTCTGGGTACTTCATATTTTGATAAATTAATTACCGGATACCTCATATTTTTAAAATATATTCCGGGGTACCCTCTATTTTGGGAAATTATCTATCGGGTAACTCACAATTTTAAAATATATTCCGGGATACCTCCAAATGTATATTAACTTACCCCTGAGGGACATTCCGTTTCATTCGAAAGCTTCAATTAAAGTGGATAGATTGTATCCTTATTGTTTTTGGAATTCCAAACCTCTATTTTTAAAAAATAATGTCGTAACTGGCTTTGATGGAGAGTGAGACAGAATGTCCTTCACGGGTAAGTTAATGTATATTTGGAGATACCCCAAAATATATTTTTAAAATATGGAATATCCGGTAGTTAGTTTCTCGAAATATGAGGTACCCATGAGCAATTTTCGGGTTTTCTTCTCCTAAAACATGGCCATCAAAGGAAAAAAAAGAATGATGTGTAAAATACTTGGGATTTGAAGTGGTTTTGGTAAGGGTAATCCATAGATGAGATTTATTGAGAATAAGATAGTTTTAGGGTATTGGGGTCACCTCAACATGCAAAAGCACAAAAATATTTATAGTGGAAGACATTTTTCAAACAGAAGTTTAGTGCCCCTTGACAAGAAAGAAAGAAAGAACGAAACTGTTCCCTAAAGCTGTTTCTTTTTTTATTTTTTTTTGTTATAAAAATACGGTCCAACATATTGGTCTAATGAAGAAACTAATTAGAACTTAGAAGGTTAAACTTGTAATTGATAAACTTTTCTTTTTATACTCTAATAAAAATTTACACTCCATCCAGTCACAAATTAATGTTTCTAGTTATATTTGTAGTCTAAATTTATCATATCTTAGTCTACATTTATTACTAATTTGATAAAATAATACAGAGTATAGTCACTTGAAATTTTGTTTATATTAGATTGAGAAAAATATGAATAACACTTTTAAAATCTTGCTCTGTGAACTTTTTAGGCAAAAACAATATGCACATAGTCTACTTGTTAAAAAGGTTTGGAGGGCTACCAACTCGTCTATCACTATTCTGAATCTCACTAAAACAATAAAAGAATCTCAAATAATTTTAAATATGAAAATTTATATTCATAAATAAGAAATTTGTGAATTTTGTGACCTTTTATCTGTGACTTTAGCGTTTTTGGTATTCTATTAGATCTCATTTCAATTTAGAATTCATTATTTTCTTTTAAGACATCAAAATTTACTACACTCCAAGAGTATTTTGGTCATCAAACAAGCCTACATGCATGGCTACATGTAAGTTAGAGGAGTACTTACTATTTTTAGATTCCCAAAGATTTTGGGAAATTCTTTGTTCTCATTGTGCGCGCGTTTCCTATTACTTTTCTAACTTTGGGAAGTGGGTGAATATATAATCTACTTCCTCTGAGTACGATATGGTAGAGCCGGCTGTACCGGAAGAAATGGTAGAGTCGTGTAGTACTAATTTTAAAGTAAACTAGTACCCATTCTCGCACAAAAGATAAATAACTTAGAATTAATTCTGAAATAATGTAATGTTCTTTTTCATGCATTTGTTCAATACAATTATAATATTTATTCACGAATAACGTAACATTAATTCTGAAGCATAGTATACTCATTTTCTCAAATAACTTAGCATCATTCTTAAACAACATACCGTTCATAAATCTGCAATCCTCCTCAGAAATGGTCGTCTGCCTTCTTTCTTTTACGCTGAAGACCCGATCAAGAATTAGAGCTCCGCTTTCTTTCTTCTACGCAGAAGACCCGATCGGAATTAGAGTAGTGTTCATCGCTGATCGAAATTAGAACAACGCCGGCTACAAATCATCCATCCACGCAACGTCCATCGCCGATGGTCCATCCTTCCCTGCCGCAGGCATTCTCTTCCTCTCCGCCCAAATTAAATGTTGGCTGTACGGGAAGAAACGTACAACTGGCTATACAATATAAATTGCGACTTCCTCAGTTCTATTTTAAACCATTTATTTCGAATTATGTTGTTTGGCTGAAGTTATTTACAATATAATTTATTTGAAAATTAGGGTAGAATTAAAAATTACAAAGTATAATTTACATATTTTTTCAAAACTACATTAAATATTCTGCGAAACAAAAACCGACATGACTAAATTATTTTATCAAATGAGTAATAAAAATAGGTATAGAAAACGAATCAAATTTGACCTTTGTGAATTATATAGACAACTTAATTTGAAACGCGCGAAGTACCAAAAAAGTAATGAAAGATAGTTAATAGAAAATGACATGCAAAAAACAATGAATATATGATATCAGTATCGGTGTCTGTGAGAAAAAACGAGGAAACTCAAAGCCATATAGTTAGAGACTTAGAGTGGCCCTTGCATTAACCTTCTTTTTTGAGTGGTGAAAGTAAAAGACTGTTTTCTTTAGTCATATCTTTCACCTCTCCCGGAGAGAAGTGGCCACCTGTCAAATAAACCAAACAGTGCACGGTGAGATTATAGTCAAATCATACATAACAAACTCATAATACACACTTTAAACGTCAGTCCTTTATGTAATTAAGACAGTTAAGCATCGGTTATGGTAGCCTATCAGCAGTTTGCTACCATAATGGCATCTTGAAAGATACGAGTAATAAAAGAGTGGGTTTTTTGTTTTTGTTTTGAGCTTCCTGGACAAAGAGGGGCCAATCAATCACTTTTGATATCTCTAATTAATCTTTCTTCCACTAATGTCAATTCAAAGATAACAGATGTATAGTATTCATTAAGCTAAGCATCATCAATCATGAATGAATGAAGGAAAACAAAACAAAAAACAAAGTATATAACTCTACTTTTGTCTTTACACTTTGTGCTGTTTATATATAAAGGTACCTGGGCCTGGTGCAATGTGTCTGTCTGTTTCTTCATTTGCAGGAAAAGCATATTGGAGTAAGCTGTGAAATTGGGATTTTAAGTATTCTGCAGTACAGGAACAACTAAACTACAATATAGTTTCTACATTCTTCAATCAACTTCACCACAAAGAAGAAGAAGAAGAAGGGTATTTCTGGGATTGACAACATTGTTACTTTGTTCTTGTGATCATCCTTTCTTTGCAGGTAAGTGATAATACCCATAAGACAAACCATTGGTTTTCTGGTTCATCCTTTTCATCAACATCAATTTGTACACATTTTGATTTCATACAAATTGGTTCCAAGACAGAAGTAGAATAAAAAGTTTCCATGAAAGATGAAGAGTGAATAGCATACCTGCATTGGCATGTGCAGACATCTCTTCATTTCAAAGATTAAACCAAACCATTATTTCTTGATGTTTCTTCCTTCATTGCAAAGAATAGATTCTAAACTCTCATCATTAGAATGTGGAATTTACTACCTTTCCCAAGGGACACAACCCACTTTAATGATGTTGCTCCCTAGTGGCATTGTCAAGTGCATTCAAGACATGTCATGTTTCCTTTCATTTCCACCATTTAATATCTCAGTTTTGGTAAATTCAGCAGCTAAAGAAAGTAGCTAGATTACCTATCCAGATAAGGGGGCAGAGGAGAATACATCTTCAATTCTTCATCTGTATTGTGTGAAAAGAAAGCAAAGCAAATATGAATGAGTTGAGCTCAGAAAGAAACAGTGGGGCTTGGAATATATATACAGCAAGTGCAGCAGAACCTCCTAGTCCATCTCAAATGGTTAGCCAGGTGGAAGGCGACAGTCCATGGAAAAGCTTTGGAACCTCAGCAAATGCCATTTCCTTCGGGCTATTAGCAACAGCCATCTTGATCTCCATGTTTCTCATCATGGCTATTTTTGAGCATCTCTTCAAGCCAGTCCCTGAGGATCATATACAAAACTTGGAATCAGGAACAACAATGCACAAGCATGGAAGCTCATCACAAACTGTAAGTACTTTCCTCAAGATTGGTTAACAAAGAATTATTGGGTTGCATTTCAATGACAGGAAACTCAAAAGCATGTGTAATCTTCTTCTTGTACAGATACCAGCATATTCTTCATTAGATTTCACGGTCTTGATGCCGGGACAGCAATATCCGACTTTCATTGCCCAGCATGCTCCCCACCCTTGTCAAAGGGAAGGAGTTTTTTGGCCATCCCATGAACATACATAGTTTTTCATAATCATAATAATGCTAGTAAAAGGACAAGTGATGGCACATGTGCACCCGAGAAGTGAAGTATTTCCCCAATTTGCAACAACATTTGTGTCTCAATCCCCCGTGTCTTCTATATGAACACAAACAAGCTGGGAAAGAGTAGAAGAAAAGCGGCACCTTGTATCAGAAAAAGGAAACAATATTCAACTATGGTTGTTAAGATGATTGTTTATGCATTCACATGCATAGATTTTGTTGTATTGGGGAAATTGAGGAAGATCAAAATAGATTACACATACTTTTATGTGATGAGAAACACAAAACTAAAAATAAAAAGCAATATGTATGTAATACATTCTGATGTATCATAATAATCGCAAATCCAACATTCGCTAATGAGCATTTTGTAAGGATAATGAGCCTCCCCCGTATTCAAATGAACATTCAGTAGGAATAAAATGAGCTGAATAAAAAATACATGTAAAAGATAAAAGTAAACGAACATTATTAAAGAACAATGAGCAATCATAGAATAATTCAAAAATGTCACTAGATGTGTGTACATCTAGATGTACAATATAAATTATCATAGTAAAGACATCAGCTCGAGCACACATTAACAGAGCAAGGTTCTCCATTCTGCTTAATCGGGTGTTGAACCTTCATCAGGTTGTATGACAGTGAGTAGCGAATACTTTACTTTCAGAGAAATCCTCCCCTTTTCAACCATGAGTCTTGCCCCAGAAACAACCCAATAACCTGGTGTTTCTTGTGGCCCTCTACTCATCTCAGTCGTATCAACAACCTTCAGAAGTTTAGGCGCTTGAATGGGAACTGGAGGACCGCCCGGATAAACAGCAGAATTAATATTCACATCACCTGGCTGTGGATGTGGCAGCTTCTGAACTGTTGTGGTAAAATGATGACTGATCAGAGTTGATATCAATCCAGATTTGCGAGCCAACCCAGATGATGAACCGTCCCACTCTGACTGTCTCACCATAGTAGCCCCCACAACGGATGAGAATTTGAGCCTTAGGAAAAGGACCTTTTTAAACCCATAGTCACCAACTTCCAGTTTTGCTCCTGTGACTATGGAAAGATCCTCATCAGAATCAACAGGTGCCGTGCAGACATGGGAGAAGTTCTTCCACTGGACTTTCTCGTAGTACTTGTGATCTTGGGGTTCTCTGTGGAAGTTTCCGTGTGGATCATCTTCAAGCTGGAATATTTTTGGAAGAGATGAGAGGTGTTGCAAGTGAATGGCCAAGCAATTACTCCTTTTACCTTCAAGGTACAACCGAAGACCGGTCACAGGCCTCTTCTCAACATCAACCTGTCATAAATGCAATGGACATGAAATATTAGAGCCCGTTTAGTAAAACGTAAAATTGTAGAAGTGGCCGAATTTGTTGAAATTACTTAAGTCGTGGCTGGAATGACTGAATATGCTGAATCATACTGAATATTTAAAATTAGACATTTAAATATTTAGAAGAAAATAAAGCTAAAAGTATCAATATCAGCTGGCCTAGTAACAATTGTTAGAGTTCAGTGAAAAAACTGACGGATAAGCCAAAACTAAAGCCTATAAAGCAGTCTCTTCATGCCATGTGTTGACCATTGCATACGAACTTATGCACACAAAAAGAACACCAACTTGTGAAGTAACACTACAAATAATGCCTAACCGATACAAATGAACTGAACCCATATTTGCCATCTTGCCATTTAAGGAAAGAAGAATCTCACTCAACAAAAATCTCAGCATAAAAACTCCAAGATGAGAAGAAAAAGTAGTGGAAAACAATATATTAGTAATAGAATCATTGAGCTTACCGGAACAGTGTTAACATACAGCTTTGGACCCAAAAAACTAAACTGTAAAGAAGCTGAACTTTGCTGCCTTCTCTGTGGACCAAGAGGAAGGTCATTGAACACTGGTGCCCATTGTCGTGGCAGCTGAAATTCCAAAAACTGGTGGAGCTCTTCAATGGGTGGTTTATCTGGAAAGCAGAACCAGAGGACAAAAAAAACAATCAGTATCTACCTATTTGACTATTTCTATTTGAAGTATTCCAAAATGAACATATCAGATGTTTGTTCTTTGTATGTTTAAAAGCAATGTATCACTGACATATACTTTGGATAAAATCAGAAGCAGAGGATAATGTCCCAACTCACAGCGCAAGTACAAATTGATAGCATGACTCAAAAATCCACTGCCGGTGATGCCATTCAGAAGGGACGTTATTGGGATAAAGGACATTGAGATTGCATCCGGCTCTAGCTGAACAGTGTGTAACCACTCATTATGGGTTAGGCTTCTGCGATCACTCCCACCTCTCCTCTTGCAAATGCTAACGATGTCCTGAAACGAAAGAAGTAAAATTTACAATTTTTTAACAGAATACTCTGGTTTACCAGAGAGGAAACAGAAGTGTTAGTGACATACCTCCTTGTACACATATGAGCTTGATGTGCTAGCTTCTGCAAACCTCAGACGTCTCTCCCTAACTTCTACCTAAAGCAAAACGTTGATGTAGAAGAACAAAAAAGTTAAATATTTAAATTTAGGCATTGGTTATTATGAAGAAGGGACAATAAAATACTAAACCTTGTCATTCTGATAACCCTGCTCAGAATCTGTTCCATATTGTTCACTGGCATCTGAAAATCTCTTATCTGCTATTGTCTTCAACCTTTTCTGGACATCAGCAGGTTCAAGTGACGAGGAGTGTTGTTGTTTCGAATATATAACATCCTTTCCACCCATCTTTATGCCAACAATAATGTGAGTACCAAATTTCTCAATGAACCTGGAATATGAAAATATCTTCATAATGTGAAGTCTTATATCAACTGCAACACTGACACTAGGATGAAGACAAATGATTCTATGAAACTTTACATGCTCCATTCGTCCCAAATTATAAAATCTTTGATTATGGTTAGCATAAAAAATATATTGAGTTATAATTTAAGTTTAATGTCACAAGATTCATTTTGAAATATAATGTTAGAATATTATATCATACTCTGTATTATATATATATATATATATATATATAGAGAGAGAGAGAGAGAGAGAATCATAAATATCAAGAGTTAAAGGGTTGCATAAACTGTGAAGTTTTTTTGGGGAAGGAGGATGTACTACATAGCAACCAAAACAATATTTTGTCTGTTGCCAACTACAAATTCAACCTTGCTAATGCTGCAGGATCCCATGTTGAAGGGACTTCTTTCTTCACGTGATCACACAACAGGATCTGAGATTTTTCAAGTGCAATAGTGTACAATGTGATGAAAACACCATCAAAAGCAAGATTTTTTGTGCAAGCAGCGTCCTTCTGCCAGCATCCAGAAAAATCAAACACTGCATTGAAGAGCCCTGATGGAATTTTACCAGTCAATGATATTTCCTGGTTGAAGTGCTCGGACATCTGGACAGTTCAAATAGTAAATTAAACATATATGATTGGATGTGATGTACTTTCTTGGAATATAGTTATTATATAATTATGTTTAACATTAACAAACAAGAAATGCAAGGGGTTTGCCTAAGCAATTAAATGAAGCAAGGTAAAAGAATGGTGCACACAATGTGGAAAACGCAAAGAGATTAATTACTACAAAAATGGCTAGACCAAAAATAAAATATTTATGAGCACAATGCAACAGTACCTGCTGGAAAGACAGAACATCAGATCGGAACCTAGTGCGTTCGCCTTTATCACATTTAATTGACTTGGGAACATTCTGGAGAACTGTTCCACCCGGAAGCACAATTTCTTGGCCCTCATCCTCGTCAATCTCAATCAAACGCCAATTGCATGGATCCCTTTTGCAATACTTAAGCCTCAAGTCCAAGGATATATCATAGCCACACCCAATGGACAGAATGGCAGCCTTGGCTGCTTCAGCAGCCGGAAGCTTTAGTGCCATTTCTCAGATGACAATCAGCCTCCAATTGCCCGCGAAGGTCATTTTTTTCTTCTTAAAGAAACACTAATCTTTTAACATGGAACTATGCAATGCGTGCGATTTCCGCAAGCACTCTCACTCTCATTCGAGATTGAAAGTGCAGAGGACACTTCCCCCACACAAACAAGCACCAGTGTGTGCAATTGACAATTCTATACCAATGAAGCAACCTCAATTCCAACTAGTTCTATAGAATTTAACTAAGAATCCTCGAATCGAGGTCAAATGCACAGTAAATATCCCACAAATTAAGAACAGCAAAACCCTAAGCCGTCTGATAGAAAACCGTGAGCCTTTTAGAGCTGGCGTTTTCGCGATCGTCCACCTTCTTCGGCTGCCGGAAGTGAGAATGAGATCATCGTTCGGCTCAGATCTACAGAGCTGGTGTCGGCGATGATAAGCGGGATGGCGGAGAATCGGGAGACGAAGTCCCTGAGGTAAGACTGAAAATTATTGGTCTCGACATCAGAGGAAGAAGAAACAGGACAAATAAATACGGATCACTACCAGCTTAGAAATGCAACATTGCAACAATACTTTGGGGCATGTATTGTTTAGCAGTTTAGCAAATTGAATTAGTTGACTTCGTTTTTTTCGGGAAGCGTGACTTAATTAAATACTCGCTCCCTCCGTAAATAAATTTTTCGTTGTTATGTTTCACTGGAGTTATTTTTAAATCATTTTATATAAAAAATAGTGTAAAATTTAAAAAATAGTCGCTCCCTCCGTAAATAAATTTTTCGTTGTTATGTTTCACTGGAGTTATTTTTAAATCATTTTATATAAAAAATAGTGTAAAATTTAAAAAATAGCAAGGTGGGACGAGTGGGGGTTTGAGAATGAATTTGGGCAAGGGCAGAGTGTGAGTAAAACTTTTTCTTTCAAAAGTAAATAGAAATCATTTTTTTGTTGAGAGAATATTTCCCTTAAAAAAATATTTTTGCTTCCACTTTTGTTACCGGATGTAGGAAATTAGAATTAAAATTTTCTTAGAAAATATTTCCCCCAACCAAATGCATCTTTAATTAAATTAGATTGGTAAAGATAAAAAACAAATTATAACAAATCTGAAAATATTCATATCAGAATTAATGAGATCAGCTTAAACAATTTATCTCTGATTGCATCCCTCTAGTGCCACAAAATAATTGGACACGAGAAAAAAACATGCATCTTTCATTCATGCATAAGCAGCTCCTGCAAACTTTTTATCCAATCTTCTTTACAATTTCGTTGACAACAACTGTGTTCTTGAACAATACAATAATATACAAACATCATGCGGCTTGCAATGCGCAAAAACAAAACCACAAACGAAAAAAAACACACACTGTAATAAAGCACACAGACTACAACTAACCAAACCGGCTTCTCTTGGCTATCGGCGCACCTACAAAATGAACAAAACTCTGCCTGCCAAAACATTTGTGGGGGCTGTTTCAGAGCTTCCAAGAAAATTTTGGTTTGGAAAACACATTTTACATACAAACCGCAGAGGAGATATTCCAAACGTGAAATTAGGACCGTAAGGCCATGAACAAGTTCTGCCTCCGAGCATGTTCTGGAATCAGACGATGAAGAGTTTCAGGAGGGATGCCAGTGAGCTCTGCATGCAAATCAAGGGAAAGATCATATAAACATGGCAAACTTTGGGATCATGCCACGTTGCCACCTATTAATTAATGCAACTCATCTATGTTGTTATATGAATACTAAGGTTATGTTCTTTTGGGTTCTATTTCTTCGAAGATCCAACTTGGTTTTTTGGTTTTTCAAACCCAAGAGAACAAAGCCTAAGTGGTGTTTGAGGTTGTGTTTGAAAACTATTTTTGAGCTTCAGCTTCGTGTAAGTCTAAAATGGGATCTAGAATGACTAAAAGTATTTTCAGCTTCTATTTGTAACTTTTGTTTTTTTAGAATCTACTACAGCCCCAAACACCCTCTAAGAGGGTCTTTGTCTAAGCTTCTTGAAACTGATTATGTTATTTCAAAAAAAAAAAAAACTAAGGTACTTGGCAAATTGCACCCAAACCCCCCACCCCACCCACAAACATATATAGTATTTTGTTACATGTACAAAATAATTTTTCTTTTCTGTTTTTTTTTTAAATTACAAACCCCGCTCTTTTGATAATGCTCAGCTCACCCCATGATTATGAATATGGTTTATGATTATTATTCTGTTTTTTAAGTTACTTTGCAGTTCTACCAAACACTTCAGCCTGAATCTGTCGTATAGAATCATTATTCATACCAATCAGCCTCTAAAGATGTTGCGCAATTATATACTAGGAATACGTGTCAGAAATGGAGACGGAAAACAAGAAATTTCCAGGAAAAAAACTTGCCTTGAGGTTTAAAATTGAAGAGAGGTGGAAGGGGACGACCATTAGGCAAACGGGTATCCAGGTTCCTCAACTCGTCAAAGAAAGGATGAACACAAGCCTCCAACTGCATTATCCAAAAAAATGGAATGGTAGCAACTTCAGCATCAGTCTTGAATTAGATTACCAGCGTGAACTAAAACTTACAGCAGTGCATCTCAAATGTGGGGAGTACTGGAAGAATCGAGAAATCAAGTCAACTGCTTCTGGTGGCAAACGTTTTTGAAAAACCTGAAGCATATATCATGCACATAATAACGCAGTTAGAAGGCTAATGTTCTTCCAAGTGGAGAAGAATTACATATAGACAAGAACAAAAGATAACCCAAGAATTATATAGGATAGTGCTAACTCTTATAAAGTTCTACTGAAGTAGGATGTAGGTGAGAAGGCATGGGGACTAGCAACTGGGCAATGGCCTCCTTGTGCCTATGATGCCCTTACCTTGGTTTATTTTAATGTAGAAAAAAGCTCCTCTTTCTTTTTAATGATAATCAGTAATGTGAGATGTTGGGTTAAAGGGGACTGGTCTTGCGACAAATGGATTTATCCAGGTCTAAATTAATCTTTTAAATGCCTCTATTGTGATCTGAAAAGGAATATGAGAACATACATTAAGTCACACTCCTATTTCTTACTACGATTTTAATGATCGGTTGATCTGTATGGCTCTGCCATTCTACTCGAAGTTTCAACCTCAACTAAAGATAATGGCAGCATCGTAATACGATAGTGAAACGTAGAAAGGAGTACCTTGTGCCATGGGTGGGGTTTTATCTGTGGAAATTTAAATTCAGTATAGTTTGGGTTCATGCATTTGATCTCCTCTCTGGTTGGTGTTCCTAAGACCTGTATAGTAATTTAAAATGAAAGGACAAACTAGTAATTGAAATGAAGTATCTAAAATTCTAGAGTGAGTGAGCAATCACCTTTATAATCTCCACTAATTGATCAACCCCACTCTCTCCAGGAAACAAAGGCTGCCCATGATCATTAAATATAAGTAGGAATAGAACTTGTAGTATTAACATATCATCATATCGTAATAGAACCAGAACAATAGAATACCTGTCCAAGAAGCAGTTCGGCCATGACACAACCTGTGGACCAAATATCAATAGATGTAGTGTATTCATTGGCACCAAATATAAGCTCGGGAGCCCGATAATATCTTGAGCAGATATAGGATACATTGGGTTCCCCTTTCACCTAATGTATCGTCATATAAACAACACTTAGAAAACTTATATTAAAAGATAATGATGGCTTATATAACCCAAATAATTACCAAAACTTTTGCACTTCCAAAATCACACAGTTTCAGCTGATGTGTATGTGGGTTCACCTAGAGGTAAAAAGGATTTTATCAGATCATTAAATAAAGTAGGTTCAGAGATTAGTTTAGGCACCAGCATCCACAGATCCAACAACAACAAACTCAATATAATCCCAAGTTCATATGGGTGTAGGGGGACAAGATGTACACAACCTTACAACTTTAAAAAAGAGACCTTTAGGTTACAACCTTGACGCATTGCTGCATTAATACACAAAACTTCAAAGAAAGAAGAAAATGGAAGTTTAAAGTGTGATTCTAATCTAGTCCATTATTTACCCAAAGCGAAAACATTGTCAATAACGACTCTTTTAGCTCCATTAAGCACCCACAAGAAACCATCCCCATCACACTACCTTGGCAGCTGTAACAGTTACTCTGCCACCAACAAACTATGCAACTTAATCATTCCATACTACTTGGGTTCATAGTTCAATCATCGACTGGTCATATTGTATACAAATATCAGAAAACTACTCTTTAACAATGTATAACATTGGCTAGAGTATAGGCTGGTCTAGTTACTTTCTTTATACAGTATCGTGTTCGCTCATAAAGAGAGAAAAAAACAAGTGCAGCATAAAGCCATAAATGACACCTTTCATTTAGAAACCTTACGAGTACTAAATAACACCTTCTATAATAAGAGAGGGAAACTGCTCTATTATCAAACAAGAAAAATCTACCAGCAAGTTCTGAGGCTTGATGTCGCGATGACATAGACCAATACAGTTGTGAATATAAGCCAGCGCCCTGCATATCTGCACCAAGAATCCAAGATAGATGAGTGCAAGACTAGTTACACACAGAGGCAAGCTTATGAGGATGCTTTCAAACAAAGGGAATGTAAAATTGTGTGAATATCAGTATTTGAGGTGTTTGGTGGGGTAAAAAGAAGGCAGAAAATGATATATGTAAGCCAAATCAACCTCATTCCCCAATAAAAGTACAGAACTTCAGGAACTCATGATTGTCAAAGTCAAGTCATCACAGAGACAGGAAACTGGTCTGCTCTACTTATTTTAATGTTCAACTTACAGTGCTAAAAGGGCATACCTGGTAGGTGTATAGCTTGACATATATTAATGGTACACGCTGGTTCATTCTGTTGTACTGCCTAGCAATTCGATTAAGAGTTTCAGGAACATACTCAAGGACAAGATTGAGATATAGCTCTTCGTTGTCTGTTGTTGAGAAGAATGAATGCTTGAGAGCAATGATATTTGGGTGGTCCAACATTTGCATAATCTGCAACTCCCTATTCTTGTAGCGCTTATCTTGAAGAACCTTCTTAATTGCCACAATTTCTCCGGTCTCTCTACACTTTGCCTGATAGAACACGAATTAACCCTTGTATCTAAAGTATGAGCTTTAACAGACAAACAATACAGTACCATTGCTTACTTGGAAAACGACACCAAAAGATCCCGTTCCTACCACATGTTCTGCTATGTAGCTCACAGTCTGTCAAGTCCAATAGAAAATTCACGAAGAGTGTTATAGATTGACACATACAACCTTACATGAACACAATTGTAAAGTTTCAACAGATTAGATGGCAGACCTTCTTGGGTTGGCCATTTCTACCACCAATAGTGGTTCTAATTATGTGACCTGTTTCTGCGCCCACACCATCGATTATATCTGGTTCGCTATCCTGCATAAAGAGATTCTTTTAGCTGAATGCACCCATAAACCCACAAAAAATGTAACTAGTACAGCTAAACAGAAGCCATTATATCCCCAATCAATTAAGCTTACTTTATCATCATCAATGTCCACTCTGTCCCTCAACCTCAGCTCAATCATTTCTCTTCCCAACCAGTCTACTGAAGTGGACAAATTCGGGAAGCCTTCGGTGCTTCTCGAACTCCCTGCTCCTCCATGACCCAAGCCAGTAGTTGCCATAGTCGAGACCGACGGGTTCCACGGAATCTAACATGTAATCTCTTGCACAGAATGTTTGCTGAAGTGAGCCTCCATCTCAGCAGAACAGCTGCCTACCTGATACAATAACAAAGATCTAGACTGGATGCAATTAAAGTGCAATCCTTGAATTCCGATCAGGAAGACGAAGCAGATGATCGTGAACTGACCTGTTTGGATTGCGCAGGGAAATGGAAGCAGCACTCGGGCATCACGATCAATTACAGACTCCGGAAATAAACTGCAAGACGCCGCAAAATCAGTTATGAAATGGAGAGACAGAGAGATTCAATGCTTTCACACCGAGAGGGAGAGAGAGAGAGAGATAATGGCGACAGAAGCCTTCCCTTCTGCTTTTTATTTCTCTTTCTGGTTCACATCTTTCTTCTTTCCTTTATCTGTCTACTCTTTTCGTTAGTTGTTACAGACTTACAGTAGGGTACCCTCCTTCAGTCCCTCCCTTCTTAATTTTCTCACTTTTAACTTATCATTCATCATCTCCTAAAACCTTTCCAATTTTGATTTTTATAACATTTAAGGAGAATATATATATTTTGGAATTGATTTTTCAAAAATATTCTTGGATTTTTAGATGTGATGAGTAAAAATAAGATATGATGGATAGATCAATTATGAAAAAATGTGATGTAATACTTAGGTTAAGAATTAGTTGGGTCAAAAGTGACTTTTTTATAAAAATGAGAAAAGTTGTTTGGGACAAGTGATAAAAAAGAAAGGTTTTGTGGGACAGAGAGATTATTTTTTTTAATTTTTTACTATAAATTATAAAAAAATTATATTGAACTATGGATAACTTTAATGCTAATAGGTTTATTTTGAACTATAATTTTAAATATTACGCATATATTTTTATAATATATATAGAGGGGGCTTATTCTTAAACAAATTTTTTTATGACAATTCTTACAACAATGCAATCGAGGCAGTTACGGCACTCCGTTCGTAAAATTGATTATATCTACCTCACTAAATCCCTCATCCCGGCCCGGCCTTAACACATCCTCACACACCCTCTAATTGCAATACTTATCATTTTGGTCAAATATTTTACCATAAAGTAAAAAATAATAATATGTTGTGCAATTGGAGGGGATGCGAGAGTGCGTTAGGACCGACCCGAGATGTGGGGCTTACCGAGAGTGCTAGAGGAGGTAGGAACAATTACTTTCACGAACGGAGCATTGTAGATGTCTCGATTGCAATATTGTAAGAATAAACCCCCTTATATATATATATATATATATATATATATATATATATATATATATCCTTAATTTATACGAAGTATGTGTTTTAATAGTGAAGCGTGAGTTGGTTAATGATGCATTTGATGTTCATCAATGAGTCATCTAAAAATAGTCTATCTATGTTCAAAGCATAGGCGTTAGTCTGCATACATTTAATAACTCTTACTTCAAAATGAACAAGAGCATTCGAGGTACTATTATAATATTATTGTTGTTGTATTAAAGTCAAATTAAAAGGTTTACTCTGTTTATAGGAAAGGATAGAGTATTGCTTTCAAGATGAATGTTACATAAACGCAAATGTTATAAAATACACAATCTTACATTTGTTTTTCTGTTTATGTTTTCTTGTAATGTATGCTTTTGGTTCTGGCATGCATGCCTGCTGTCTTTGTTGGCCTCTGTCTCTGTCTTCTGCTATGTACTTGTGTTTATGTTTGACTATGGATTGCATGCTTTGGCCTGCGTACCAAGGTTTTGCTTTTTGGCCTATGTGTCGTTTGGCTTGGGTTGGTGTTTCAACCCCTTTGATTGCTATTATTGACTCGGGTATGTCTGTTTTATTCTTGTATTCTTTCACTTGGGTTTGAATAATATTAATATGGCATCCAAAAAAATACATAATCTTATAAAATTATGTAAGAGAATTAAAAAGTAGAAATTTAAATACACAAATGATAAATTTGTGTATAAATTTACTGCATCTCAATTGTGTTGAGATAATGGGAGTATATAGCCCCTTATTAGCAATGTACGGAGTATTGTCTTCTGTATTCTAAAAAGAGTCACAAAAATGTCTTAGTTTAATTAATCTCTTAGGTCTAATTTTACATATTTCAACTATAAATTATTTAAAAAATAACTACTCCGTATAATACTTCCTCCATTTTTTAAAACACTTCCTCTTTCATTTTTTTCACTTCCAACAAAACACTTCCTCTTTCTATTAAAAAACCACTTTTACCCTTACTTTTTCATACCCTACCTATCACATCATACTTTTTCTCTAATAATCAATCCATCACATCTTACATTTACCCATCACATCAGGGGCAAAATTGGAAGTCAACTATAATTTTACACTTCCTTATTTTGGCTCCAAGTCAAAATAGGAACCTTTTTGCAAACGGAGGGAGTAGAAGTTTAATACGACTGGACTACTTTTAAGATGTGATTTTAATATATCAAATTTGTATAATACGGAGTTTTTATTTATATAAAAATTTATTAATTGTCAAAATGTATTTCAACAAGACAATTTTACTTTTTTTAAATTTTTATGTCAAATCAATCGTAAAACTTTTTTATGAGACAAAGAGAATATCAAATTTGTTGAGTCTAAAGGTGTTTGATTGGGGACGAATGAAGTATATACATTATAGAGAGTAATCTTTATTCAATTGAGCTCAAAATTTCCATCTAATCTTATTTTAAAATGAAGATAATATTAAATTATTAGTGGACCTAATTTGGATCAAAGTGAATGCCATTTTTAGCATGACGATTTTCAAACGTACCATGCTACACTTACACCAAAAAATGTACCCCACTTGTACACCACAGTTTTGCACAAACATTTTGATGGTTTACACCGACACAAGTGTTGGTGCGTTAACAAAAATTTACACAGACACAAATGTTGGTGCGTTAAACAAAAATTAGTTTTACACCAACACAAAATGTTGATGTATACCTGCGGGGTACAAATTAGGGTATAAATGTTGGAGTACACATAGCTTAATCCTTTTCAAACAGCTTTCGTCCGAGTTCTCAAATAGGAGTGGGCCCACCTGTGGAGTTTAGTGTGTTTTTACGGGTCGGATTGTACGGAGTGCTGCGGTGGATTAGTATGTGGCGTTGCCACGTGGCGCCTCAAAATCATGCCAACGGGCCACGCTTCATGGGCCACGGAATTTACCATTAAGGTCAACATCAATCACTCTGTTTCATGGGACAGTGTTTGGACCACCTACCCTTTTGACTTTTTTGCCACTTTTCAGTTCAAATGTTCACACTCCCACACCCATTTTTACCTCTTTGAGCCGGTTATGCATTACCAAAACTTGTGTACATGCAAAAAAAATCATACTCCCTCCGTCTCCTGTATTTGTTCACTTTCATTTTTACACACCATCTAATGCACTTTTTTAATTCATTTTATCTTGTAATTTGTATATTAAAAAATTATAAAAATTATATATTAATAATCTATATGTTAAGACAAATCAAACAAGATTACACATTGAGAGAATTTGATGAGTCAAAGTGCTTAGATGAACAGTTCCAAAAGTCAAATGTGAACAAATATAGGGGACGGAAGGAGTAGTATATTTTTTTAACTATTTTACTTATAAATCAGTATAGAAATAAAATGAACAATTACATTTTTTAAAAACTACAATAAGAATTTTATAAAAAAAATATTTTATTTTATCAAACGATCAACGAAAACATGCAAACAAATACTCAGGGCAAAAACAAACTAGAGATCAGAGTAGTAACTGTTATGATAATTTTGGCACAAAGGGAGAACACATCAAGAACTAGCACAAAAACACTATGAAGGGGGTGCAATTGAAGGGAGTGGGGGTGCGTTCAGGTTGGGGCGAGGTGGGGGGTTTACCGGGGGTTAGTGAGGAGTAGGAACCATCCATTTTACGAACGAGACACCATAGCAGTCTTGGGTCATCCCATGACATGAAATTCCAATGGCATGGGAAGGACTCCGATGTTCAAAAGTTCTCAAAAAGTCATTGCAAGTAAGAACTCAACCAAAGAGGCCCTTAGTCAATTTGGGCCAACAAGTGGGCGATATAGGTATGGCCCCGGGCTAGGACTCAGAACAAGATAATAGGACGGCAAGTCCAATCTAATCTGCATTAAAACTTGTGTCTATTATAGGCTAAGTACCACAGTTCTTGCAGATCAGTCCCCACTGACAATGGTCCTGCCACGGCCCACAAGTGCACAACCCTTTTCATCCTACAGTTAAAAATAAAACCTAAAATTTATGTTCTGTCCTAAAATGTTGCCAAAAATTGAACTCCTTTCTGAAATAATACTCATGGTTTCACTTCACAAATCACAGTGTTTTAAGCAAGATAATGTTATGGTTTGAACTTCACATATTGCCCTTAAATTTAAGTGGAGTGGGTATGGGTAGAGAAAATGTGAGTTTGTAAAAAAAAGGTTAGAAAAGTAGGATGTAAAAACTTGGGTGAGTAAAAACACGAGAAACTTAATTTGCACAATTAAAATATGATCTAAAATGTTAATGCTAATTGAAAACGTTGCTCCCAAACAAAACCTTCCTCATAATGAAGTCACTGCAATAACAACAATGGCACATATCAGCCTTTCATTCCTTCTTATGGAGGTTTTGCCACAAGAAGGGCATTTGGTGCAAAACATTAACGAAAGCTCAAATTAAAGAAAACCCATGAAAGCTAGTGCACGCATGTTTACCTTACAAAGGTCTGTTGTCATATCTCCAAGGCGTCAAGGAGTTGGGTGTGCTGAGACAGAGAAACCAGTGAATTAGCAACAATTGCACCACTAGCAGCAACTGCAGGGACTCCAATGCCTGGGAAGGTGGAGTCTCCACAGCAGTAAAGCTTTCGGATTGGTGTTGAATGCCCAAAGAATGCGGAGTCTTTACCACCAGCCAATATGGCAGGCCCATAAGTTCCTCTGTTCCTCCTCAGAAATCTTTCGTGTGTTAGTGGGGTTCCAACCAACTTTACATCACATTTGTCACGACTGAAACCTGGGCCGAGCACTCTCTCCACAGCTTTCCACATTACCTGTTCACACGACCAAACATCTGATCGTGTACTTTGCTAGTTAAGAGAACAAAAAATATAGGCATAGTGTCTGTTTGGAAATAGCTTCATCGTTTAGTTTCAGCATTTGGAAAATGCTACTCCGTATATGATAGTGAGTTAGTGACGTTTAGCTTTAACGATTCCAAAGTTAATCTGCACCATTCAAAAATTATCCAAAATGTTGATGCTGATTGGAAACGTTATTCTATTCCCAAACAAGACAAGAATCACGTGGAGATAGATTGTTTCCTAGAAATAGATGTTACTATTCATACTAAGGATTGGAGTTCCATCCCAAAGTGTCAAACAGATAGGAGTAGTAGTACTATGCATTATATGTTGGTTTACATTTTTTTATTTAGCGTTCTATGGAATGATTATGATAGATGTAAGGAACCAACTCAACCACAAGCTCTGGTTGTGGGTCCTGAAAAGACTTTATACGATAGATGCCTCAACACGCACAGGCGAGAATTAGTTTTGCTCGAGCCTTGCACGTGAACATTAATTTTGTAAAATTGGGTCGTAGTAAGGTTCAAACTCGTGACCATTAAGGGCATGTTCTTTTCAGTTGGAATTCTAAAGTTGGATGATGGAAGAAATTGGAATGAATTTAAAGAAACTGGAAGGAGTTGGAAAATGTTGGAAAAAATAAGGTGTTAAAAAATCACTCAATTAAATGATCACCCAAATAAATATGTAAGAAAACTAATTTTGGATAAAAAAGAATTCATCTTTGTCCGTGTTTGAGATGGTATGTTATAGATTTGGACATACGATGCTTATATATTGATCATATATAAATACATTTTTTAAGTTGTTAGAAGAAACATGAAGAAGTTGAAAAAAACTGGTAGGAGTTGAAAAAAGTTGGAAGTGAACTTTTCCAACCCAAAAGAACATGCCCTAAGTCAGAAAGATTTTGGTAGTATTTCAAAGAACCAACTCAACCAAAACCTCAAATGTATTTTTGCTCGAGTCTTGAACATGAAATTAATTTTTATGAAGCTCGATGTCGTTGATGTTCGAACTAGTGACCTTAAGGTCAACAAGACTATGATACCCTGTTAAGGAACAAACTCAACTCAAGCTCAAACTTATCGTTGTAGGCCAAGAAAAAGTTTATACTGTTAACCTTTTCCTTCATTTTTGAAAAGATACAATAAGCTCTTAAACATACAAAGCAGAAGTAAACATTGAAAAGAGAAAGTCCTAATATACCTTGGATCGTTCAGCCTTGAGGTTTTTGTATTCATTGCTGTTGTGATCAAGTCCTTCCCAAATTTCATAAGGCTCGGTTCCAGGTGTATAGGCATGCAAGACGTGTTTCCCCGGTGGAGCAAGATCAGCACTAAGCGCACTCGGTATTGATATCAGAACCACATTTTGATCCACGTCAACTCCTCTCTCCCAGTCATTTACAACTATGTGATGGATCCCCAGGTCGTCACGCATTCCCTGATCAGCCAGATTTTATGTAATAAAATATTCATTAAGACAAATTTGATAATTTTAATAACAGGCAGTGTAAGGTGAAATTGGCTTTATTAGTACGGAGTATATAGTACTCCCTCCGCCACCAAATAGAGCACAGCCTTTTAAAAAATTACTGTACACTGAAAAAAATGAGTTTGAAAATAAATTTTAGTGGTATTAATAACCATTTATAATCTGTAAAGCTTGTGCCTTGATTGAGGTCATAAGCTTGGCGTACACAAGGAAATCTCCTTTAATAGATTACACACCAAAAACTTGAAAATAAATTTTAGTGGTATAAATAACCATTGACAATTTGTAAAAGCTTGTGCCTTGATTGAGGTGACTAAAAATAAATGTTAAACCTTACTCAAACAGACCTCCTTTTTGGGGGGACAAAAGTACATGGTAATAGAAAATCAAGACACTCAGAAAAAGGCAATGTGAGCATGTATCTTACCTCTGCATCGAAGCCTAGATGCAGATGCATAAATGATTCACATTGTGGAGTGTTTTTTATCCGGTCCGGATCCATTTTTGGAACGACATCCTGTGGTAATAAGTTTAGAGTGTCCCACATAGATGCATTGCTGACAACAGCTTTTTTAGCACTGACAAACTGCAGGTAAATAATCTCATCATGGAATGCCAATACACACTTGATGACTTGACAGATCAATTTTACATAAACTACCACTCTTCATATTTGTAGTATTTATTACTCACCTGGCCACTTCTTAGTTTCACTCCTGTGGCTCGACCATTTTCAACAACAATATTTTCTACATGGCTTTTAAGAGAAATCCGCCCACCAAACTTCAGTAATCCTCGTACAAGGGCGTCAACTATAGCTCCGCTTCCCTGTAGAGGATACTCTAGTGTGCAACCTGGCTTGTACCATTCTGACAACATATAAACCTATAATGATAGGAGAACACGTTATTTTACTTCTGTGTTAAGTGCTAATGGATTGACAATATAGCATACAACCAAATATATTAGTTAGAAATGCTTTTTAACTGATCCACCATTCTCAAGCAAAGCAGTTAAAGAATCTAAGATTTGAATATAGAGGGCCTTGGGTTCGATTAGCTCATTTTGATTATTATTTTTTGTAGACTAGTTCGTTGATTAGATTCAAGCTTTAGTGTGATTTGAGTCATGTGCATTATACCCCAGTTCAATGACTTAACCAATCACGAACTCAATCAAAAGCTCTTTTATATTATCCTAAATAAATTACGGAAACACTTTTTCCCATTATTAGCTAGCAAGAAGTGAGTTACTCAAAAAATTGCGTAAAAATGAATGTTCTTTAACATTAGCAAAAAAATATTAGAGTTCCAAAGTTAAACAATGTAACGCATCCAAGGCAAAATACTACTGTGAATTTTAAGTGTGAGGAATGTTATGTGCACAGCCACCCTGAGAGTGCAAATTGGCCCCCAATAATATTCAGCCACGTGTTAAGTGATTTTTCTTTATGGTTTTTTCGTTTACAACTATATACATGGCACAACATAATATCGCGGGAGCCGGGAGGTGCAATTTGCACTCTCAAAGTGAGAATTCACATAGCATTCCTCTATTAACTATTTAGCATAGAATCATAAAAGATGGCAAACATTAAGACAGACCCTTAATTTAAAATTAGAGAGTTTAAGGTGACCAAAGTTACCATCTCTGCAGAGAGTATGCCATTAGTTTTTACTCCAGCAAGCAAGAAAGAGAGAAGATCAAGCCAGTTCTTTATAAAAGGATCTTTTAACCCTAACGAATCGATAATTTCCGAGAAGGGTCCAAGAAGCTTTGTAGCACCAAGGGCCCCACGAGGTCCCATCTGAGCAAAAGATTTCAAAAGAGAAGGTGCATATCTAGCACCAGCAGTGGAAAGAATGCCCAAGTCACCTCTGATAGCCAGAGGAGGGATAGCCATAGCCAAAGCTGACATTGGAAGAACTGCATCCTTGGGAGAATACAATAGCAGCAAAGAAATTTCTCAAGGCCTAGAAAACCAGGATGAATGCACAGAAAGAAAATGTGGATTTGACAAGAACCATTCATAAAATCAAGAAGTTCACGAAATCCTTAAAGGGATGTTAAAAGGAGACAAAGGGTAGGATGAGCTAAAAAATGCTAGGAAAATTATTTTCTTACGTTACTTCAAACATACAAAGGAAAATGAAAAACGGTTTAATGAGTTTGAAAACCTTGCACATGCTTACGTCTGTTATTCTTAATGTAATACAACCACATAAATACAATGAGTTGAGCAAATATAAAAATTGAAACATTGAGTTTGAATCAATGTTTTATCTTCCTCGTCTTTAATTTCCTTCCAAAATTTACCTCATATTATCTTCCCTAGTTTCTTTCCCCCATCATTTTGTGAGTTCCCAATTGACCTTGAGGGTGCGTTTGGATCCCAAGAAAAGTGATAGGTAATAGAAAATGAAAATCTAGCAGAAAATTATAAATAAATAAAATTTGAGGGAAATAAAAGATATATTTAAAATTTTTAACTCAAAAACCTATTCTAGATCTTTATTCAAACTCATTTTATTTCTATCATACAAAGGCCAATATATCTAAGCCTACACAACAACATTTATTTCCTTTGGTATTATTTGCTTTAAGTGTAAAACCAAACAAAATAGAAGAACTTACATCATAAGTTCTTTCCTTTCCCTAGAATTTTCCTAGATGCAAGCATACTCTATAAGCAGACAAGATTGATAATGATAGAGAAAGTGTGGAACTCACGAGAAGTTTTTTCCATTCTCTCACGGAATCAGGACCTGCATAATTTTCTAGATCCTGGAGAGCAAACATATAAAGTTGAAAATTCAGACTTAACCATTTGATAAGCTGGGGAAAACCAAAAACTTCATAAATGATGATGCTTAAAGGCTAACGGATAACATACACTATCATTACAGAGTTCATTTTTTCTATGCTCAGTGGCTTAATACAGCAACACAACGTTTTGTTTCTTATGGAACCTCTTCAATTTATGACTTCATATTCTCACTCCAATGCCGTAGAAGCAATGAAAAAACAAAATGGAGTCTGCGGCATTAAATATAAAATAAAACATGTGGCAAGATGACGGCTGGCATCTTATAGGCAGGCGTCAAAATAATATCCAACGTATTAAGACTTGGTTTGCAATCATAAAGTTCCACAAGATAGTAGGAATAACAAAGTGTGTTGGTTTGTATTTTTATGATTATTTGATACTTTGATGTGTGGCGACTATGGATTCATAATGAATTATATATAAATCAAAAGATGCATGATGACAGAAACGGGAAGCTAGATGTCAACCTTAAAGAACTCTGTTGGCCCAATGTGAGACAAAAAATCACCTTCAGGAATGTGCATCATCCATGAATCATAATTTGCACAAGGAACTGATTCACCCAAAGCATCAAGTACCTGCAATCACCCAAACCTTAAGTTCAGTTATATAAAAAATGTCAAACAAATTTCATATATTTTAATTAATGATAAATTTGAAAGGTTACTTGTGTCAAAGGATTGGCCTGGGGGCCCCTTGAACGAAAGCCAGAGAATAAAGAAGGCCCGGAATCAAATTTAAATCCTTTAATATCAAACGAATGAGCAGCACCCCCGGGTATATTGTGGCTTTCAAGTACCAAAACATCATGTTGGTATCTAGCAAGAAGCCCTGCACAACATAAGCCACCTATACCACTCCCAATAACTACAACATCTGCTTCTTCCATGCCTGCACATCATAATTCTGCAACCCACATTAAGAAAAGGGATATATAATCTAAATCATACTAGATGATGTCAACATGTAGAACTCATTCAGATATGATATAAAAATTATAGATACGTACGGAGTACATAACTGATAACTCTGTTTGTGCTTATACTGCTTACTACTGTTGGAATATTTGGAATTAACATGAGTCCTTTTTTCCCTCCTTTTAATTCATTCTTTATCCTTCTATTTGTTTAAATTAATTTTTTCTCTTTGTTGTTATCTTTGATCATGTCTCCTCAAATCATATGGCTCTCCATTGATATCGGCTAGTTTTTCGGATCAGCCAGTTGATCGTTAGCAATGTTTCTCTTGTTTTGAATATTTATATGCTTCATGCATCTCTTCTGAAGGATGACTTATAGTTTCTTTCTCTAAACACAAACAACCTTCTCTTTTCTGCTGAGTCGATGAATATATTTATATATTCCATCCCATTAGTTCTGATTCCAATGAGCATCGTAGAAGAGCTTGTTTTATATCTTTAGGGAAATTTCTGGCCAACCGGTGGAAAGAGTTCCTAGAGGACAGTGTTTTGAGTTCCGATACATCTCGAGCTTCATGTGTATCTAAAGTTTATTTTGAAGGACTCCAGCCAACAATTTCCCAACAACTATATCAAGACTTGGGTTTCCATCCTAGTCGAATTTGAGTGTATGGTCTAATAACATAACTTAAGAAATCATCCTAAAAGTCAGCCAAGATTATGGGAGGAAATGAGGAATAGCCCAATGCCTTACATTATGGGGAGGGATTCATAATTGGGTCCCTATTTGTCAACCACAGTAATTCAATTGACTAACAAATCTGATCCAATTCTTTATAAATTCCTCAATGGCTCGATTACAAATCAGATTTCAATGCGCAGTCTTAGCAGAATCAAACATGGCATATTTTCACTAGTCTGTAAGTAACATTGCGATGTGTAATCATCTCTGTTCGCGAACCATAATGGAAAGTGACCTGTGAATGAGTGACAGTATTACTGCGTTACCAGGTGAAGGTTGCTTGGAGGTGGAGCGACGGCCATCGCTAAGTCCGGTGGATGAATTTCGCGGGGAAAGTGTATGCCTCCGCCGTCGGTTGCTGCCGGAGGATCGGGATTTGGAAACTGTGGGTGGATTTTTGGGAAGAAAGGCGGCAGCACCAGCTAACGCCATGGATTGATCTTCTTTTTGTAGATAAACGTAATAAAAAAAATTGAAAACCCCACTGCAATAATGTCAACAAATGTTGTAGTCCAACACTCCGACATTATCTATTGCTTTCTTAAATAACCCGCAAATTCGTATATAAAATACACTCAAATCATCTTACTATATACAAAGATGATATACAAAAATCGTTGGGTTGGGTTTACCATTACGGTCCAGGCATAATAAATGGGCTGAGATTGACAGCTGTATATGAGTTAATGCTGAAGCCTATTTTAGGTAGGGTTGTAGTCCACCTTTTGTAAAAGAAAAAATTGCATTAATTACATAGATTTAAAAAATATTTGGGAACCCGTGCAAGCGTGCAGCAGTGATAGTTGATAGATAGCGTAGCAGTAAGCTTCTCCTCAAGCGTATCAGATAAGCTTCTCACATCCGTATATCCCCTATGGACATCTCCGTCGATTCTCATTCTTCTCTCTATCACAGCAACTTTCAGATTCATAGCAGACGAAGAACTAGACCTAGCAGCTTGGTCTAGGGACAATGAGGCAAATTCCCACTCAAGTATAAATTTCTTATCTACACTTAGAATCCTCCGCCTCTTTCATGAAAAAGAATCAGAAAAAGCTAAGGCACAGTTAAAAGAATCGTGCGTATCCATCTCTGATAAAAAAATTGTAGGGGAGGGCTGCGTGAAACATCCTCAAGCTAGGGTTATAACCCCAACTATGGATTCTGACGAGAAAGACGGTTGGCCTAGCAAGACCACCGGCTGCAGGTCTTTCACTCCTCATCTTCTTCTTATCTTTGTTTTTACATTTTGACTCAAGTATATGTCTGATTTTGTAGTTGAAGAAAAAGAATAGATTTGGATGAGCAATGCTCACCATGTGTTCGATGAAATGACTCAAAAACATGTAGAGTCAAGGTAACATTTCATTTCTTCCTACTTGGTTTAGTACTGGTCATACTGTGTTATTTCAGACTTGAAATGCCATTTGAAGAGATTGGGTATCTCAAAGCTTAGACAAGCTCTCACAAGTTTAGGGAGAACCAAACAACAATTGAAGGTATTATGCTTTTAAGATAGAAATCACTCAACCAAGATTCATTGATTTGTGTTGGGATCCTATTTTTAAGCTTGAAATATGAGGTTAGTAATTAGTGGCTGGATTGGTTTTTTTGAGTTTGATTTTTTTGGACTGTTATAGTATACTTGAATGTCAATAGAGAGTTTCTTTTAGTTTCTTGGAGCATTTTCTTTCTAATAGGACTTGTGAATAGTACTTTCTACAAATAAAGTGATAAAATTTAACCTTGTGAATAGTACTTTCTCCGTCCCACTATATTTGTCCACTTTCATTTTTGCACACCATCCAATACACTTCTTTAATCCATTTTATCTTGTAATTTGTATATTAAAAAATTATAGAAATTATATATTAATAATCTATATGTTAAGACAAATCAAACAAGATCACACATGACTATATTTAGGCTTACACAATGAGAGAATTTGATGAGTCAAAGTGCTTAGATGAACAGTTCCAAAAGTCAAAAGTGGACGAATACAGTGGGACGGAGGGAGTATACGAGAAGATTATTTTTGGACGGAGAAAATATTTTTATCCTATAACAGTCACATTGCCCACCCCCTTATTTGTTGCTATTTTTAGCTCTCTTCTCTCCTTAAGGTATCCCGAATTATATTTTTTAAAAAAAGATGGGATCTGTGAATTCTCATCACAAACCGATATACCTGGTAGGTTCAAAACTCGCTAATTTCGAATTGGATTTTGGATCAATAACGGGTTAGGTGAAATTTTGTCGGGTCTAACTATTTATCATTAGTTTTAAAATATTTTTGTTTAATCTCCTAATTTCTTTTTTTAAAAAAGGAACTTTATAGTATAAGGAGGATTTATTTTTTCTCTTTTGGACTAATTCCAACAAAGATATTTATGGAGAGGGATGCCAAGTAGATAGATGCGCGAATATTTTCTCTCAAATTTCAACAAAACTTCATCCATCTCGAGTCTCGAGTGGAAGGAAGGAGGAAGAAAGAGGCGAGGGAAATGGCGAGGAGACCAGACGAAGAGTACGATTACTTATTCAAGGTTGTGTTGATCGGAGATTCTGGAGTCGGCAAATCCAACTTGCTCTCCCGATTCACCAGAAACGAGTTCTGCCTCGAGTCCAAGTCGACCATCGGCGTTGAATTCGCCACCCGTACTCTTCAGGTCCTTCTTCTTCTTCTCTGGTCATTTTCCGCCGCATTTCATAGCATTTCACTTCAATTTTGACTATGAGTTGTTGCGATTCCGTGCATTTCCTGCTCGATTTAGGTTTGCTGTTGTTTACTCTTCTTAGATCCGTGAATTGCAGCGCTCCGAGCATCTGGTTGTATGCATCAATGTGTTTTTCCTAGGGTTTTGATGATCTGTAGTTATGATCTGTGAATGTCGTTTTGATGTGTACTGTTCCTGCTGGATCTTCTATTTTATCACCGACTTAGATGTAGAAGCATCCAGTAATCGTTTTCTGATCGAAGATTGATCCGCGTTTAGTGGCACGTAATTAGGTATTGCTAACCACAAATCGGTTGGGAAAACAACTCGGTTTGGTTGTTTATTACAAATCTCAAGCAGTCAAGCTGCTTGCTTAAGTTTTAAAAGGAATTTATCAAACATGTGTATCGTTGTTGATCATTTGGTTACACCCATTATGTATTCCTTCATCCATGCATTTCAAGTAATGTGTATCTTTACATTCATCTCATTCGCATCAACTCGTCAAGCAATGTGTATCTTTATATTCCTTTATCCAAAAAGTGTTAGGAATTGCAGTAGCTCCTTATCCGGTCTTAGGGCATCTGGGTGTTTGCTTAGAATTCATGAATCAAGTTAAGATTTTAGTTTCATACTTTCAGTCTTTCACCCATACTAATCACTTCACTTTATCTCCACTGTCCGGCAATAGAACCGGCAAAGGAGAATTTAAACTAAGGGGAAGCCGGGGGGAACTCTAAAAAATATGCAATGGCCTCCAAACCAGAGAGCTATGGGTGAATGTGTTTGAGAGGGTTTAGGGATTGGATTTGGAGAATCAATTCCTGACTTTCTGTATCCAAACAAGTGTTACGTGTATACCAAATACAAGAACAAATTGCACGAGGCCTTGTTGATGAGATATTTAGGCCAGGTTTGCTTTGGTGTCTGCATTGGTACGTCAATACAACTCTTCTCTCAACTACAGAGTTGGTTGGTTGGCTGGAATTGAGCATTTCTCTGGCTCTACTTTGCAAATGCTGCACCATGAAATTATGAATACCTAATTATGTTAAACACCAACAGAAAATAAAGTACATCACACTGCCCGTGCCTATTATTAATCACTGAGGCTCATTGTCTCGTTTTAGATGAAGAATTGAAAGCTTTTGGAAAGGAAGATTTTGGAAGGCTCTAAATTTTGAAATATAGAATGTTTTAAGAAAATGAATAAATTTAGATTGAAATATTATACTCTATTATGAAAATGAATTAATTTATGGAGTTTATACCATCAGTCCTTTTTAGAATCTCAAATATATGTCCCAAAGAGGATTGATTTTCAGGAATCTCGAAATAACTGTTCATAAGATGGTTGGTCAGTCTACTGTTTGTTGTCCTTGTTCTTAGTTTGTAATTAGGCATTTGATCTCTTTATATAAATGTTTGCCCAACTCGATTAAAGAGTGTTTTGTTTTAGGTTGAGGGGAGAACGGTAAAGGCTCAGATATGGGACACTGCTGGGCAGGAGAGATATCGCGCCATAACCAGTGCGTACTACAGGGGTGCACTAGGGGCTCTGTTAGTGTACGACGTGACAAAGCCAACAACCTTTGAGAATGTGAGCCGTTGGTTGAAGGAACTCAGAGACCACGCGGATTCAAACATAGTGATCACACTGATTGGGAACAAATACGACCTGGGCCACCTCCGTGCAGTTGCCACAGAGGATGCCCAAAGCTACGCCGAAAGGGAAGGGCTCTCTTTCATCGAAACGTCTGCTCTGGAGGCAACCAATGTGGAGAAGGCGTTCTTGACCATTCTCTCAGAGATCTATCGGACGATTAGTAAGAAGTCTCTTTCTTCGGAGGAGCCATCCGTAGGTGCTAATATCAAAGGAGGGAAGACCCTTGATGTTAGCTCACAACAAGATGGCAACATCAAAAAACCTTGCTGCTCTTCGTCTTGATGGTCCTCTCTTTTTCTCATATTTGCCATTGATCTTTTGTGTTTTGGCTTTTTATTATTGTTGTTTGTATTATTATTGTTGTTATTATTATTATTATTGGGAACGTTTTGTTTGTTGAGTTGTGTGCTATTTGAGGCTTTACTCCGTATTATACTCGTATTAATTTGAGGCTGTATTCTCTTTTAGGTTCAAGATGTTGTTTAACCTGTTTTTACTGACACATGAAAATAAATTTAATCACGTAAAATGTTGTTTTGTTAAACTTGCTAAGGAACACATCAAATGATTGTGTAGTCTATATAGAGCCCCGAGTGCTGGTTTTTACTTATCATTTGACAGATTGATATTGGTTATTTGGCTTTACTGATACGTAAAATATATTGTTACCTCCAAAAAATTACTCCGTATGTTGGAGGGGATAAAAGGTGACAGATTCAGTATTTGTATTTACTCTAATATTTTTTTTAATTAAATTTTGGATATTATGAATTAGACTACAATATAAATTTTACCCCGGAGTATACTACAAGTGGACTCTAAAATGAGACCCTCCATTACGTGAATTGAGAGTCCTTTTTTTGGTTGAAGTATCTTCCTTTTCATACGTGGCCAATTTTGATTGCACTTAAAATGGTACTCAACAATTATTTTTATTTTATATGGAGTACATATTTTTAGTGTCTGTAGTACATAGCTAATGAAGCATAAATATTTAATAACTTTACTAGGATCCAAACTTGTGATAGCTGGTTCTGAGAGCCAGAATTATGGTGATTGTATTTATAATTTAATAGAAAATTAATTTTGATGAAAAAATGTTTAATCCAATATGTAATTGTATTATTTTGTTCAGTATGGAATATATTTACTTTATTTAAATGATTAACGAAAAAGAATCAGAATTGAAAGAGCGAGTGGAATCACAAACTATACCAATTGGTGGTATTAACAGATTCTGATTTGGAAAAAAATGAAGTGTAGGTTCTAAAATTGAAGCTTCTCCAAAAGTTATTTGACAACAACTAAGAGCATGAGCAATGGTGAGGCAATAATGGAATGCCACATGCTCACATGAAACATTCCAACCAATGAAAAATAGTTCAGTTAGCGTGTGGCAACTGAGTAGAGTGACATGCCCTGCAGTAGCAAGTCACTATTTTTATTACTTTTTTCATTTTCTTGCTATATTTGAATTATTAAAAAATATTTACCTATTTAATAAATTTAACATAAAAATATTTCTATTTACTGAAAAAATGACATTATTGAAATGTATTTTAATGAATAAAAATTACTTTTCTTATATGCTCCATATTTTTATTTATCTTTTCATCTCAAATTAGATTACATTTTAGAATTATGATGCAAAACTCCTTGTTTTTTAAAATTATTTTATTTATAATTGGTAAAAGAATAAAAAATAAAACTTACAAATTAAAAAACAACATCAAAAAAATAGTTCCACTACATCTAAAAAAATTCTTTCTAAAAATAAAATAATTCTACTTTCAAAAAAATTGTATTACACCACAAAAAACAAACAAACAAAAAGTCAAGGAAATGGATTGGCCGGAGTGTACTGTAGACAACAAAAGTGCCTCGCACCTCACTTGGAAACCGTGGAGGAACGGTATGCACACGAGAGGCAAAGAAAGATTTTTATCCGAGCTGACAAGCGTGTCATCTCATTTAAACGCCGTTGCCTTTGCTCTAAAATGTTTATTTTCAACATTTTAAAAAGATCATTTAAAGATACTCTATTTAATTTAGTATTGTTAAATTTAATTTACAGCATTAAATAATTATTTAAAAGGTTAACATACACTTAGAAGTTGACATTGAGAATAGAGATGACTCTAGAAGTAATTCATTAATCCGTAAGAAGTACTCCCTCCGTTCCAAAAAAGTCTGTTTCATTTTTTGCGCATCTCATAAAACACTTCTATCTTGCCTTGAATGCCAAAAAAACTTTCAAAATAACTTCTACCTACAATAAAAAAGAAATGTTGTAAATTTTAGACATTTTAGATGTCAGTAGAAGTGTTTTATGGAATGTGCAACAAATATGAAACAAGAAATTTTTGGGACTGGAGTAAGATTTACGGAGCACATAGTTAAACCCTAGAACTTGAACTCTTTTTTTAAATTACTCAGTGGCAAATGGCAATGAAGCGTTGTAGAAGAACAGAGGTTACCGATGATGATGGCCGAACCCCCGACGGTACTCAACTCTCGCTCTCCCGAAATCTTTTTTCCATTGACTTATTTTAGCTTTCCGGTAAATTTTGTTATTATTTTTGAGTAGTAATTATCTTTCGGTCTATTGTGTTTGGGATTTTTTTTGAAGTTTTTTGGATAATCATCGGGTTGAATCTTTCATCACATAGGTTTTTATCTGAATTTGGGTCTTTGTTTGGTCGAATTCTGTAATAATATGATGGCAGACTGAAATGACACTTTAGATTCCGTTCTTCTGTAGCAATATGATTGGCTGATATATCCCCGGGTACTACCAATGATCCCAAAGTCCTTAAACAAATCAATGGAATAATGACTAGATATTATGATCCTTTTTGGAAAGAATTCATCAACAAACCTCAAAACCTAGCCATAATCTTTTTGGACTTCTCCACCCCATAAAGGCTGAAAACCCCCCTGCACAAAAAATCAAACCCCAAAAATCCAAACAACCCAGCCTCTTACTTTCTTTGGACAACACTACCACACCCTATGAACCCCACATTGTCCCTTCATTGAATTAATACACTCTTGGCCAAAATTCCTTGCCAAACCACAACCAGTTAATTCACTTCATTCCTCCCATATGAGGGCTGAAAATACCAGCCAAAAACCCCTCTTATTTCACATAATAGACCTGCCATTTCCCCCCTTATGTTCCCCAGCAAATCTGCACAGCCCTGACCCACCACCAACCCAATCCACCCTCTCTTGTTCCCTGCATAACACCCAGGATATACATCCAAAAGGACAGCCAGGCCATTCCTCTCTTTTTTCCCCACTTGGCTGAAAAGACCTCACCAAAAAA